CTGGGGCTGGGAGAGCGGAGAAAAGAAAAAAATATCCCAAATCAGGGGAGAGGCAAAGAAATACTTATTCCTATGAAAAGAAGGGAGAGTAACCCAAACCATGACAGGGAAAGCTGTTGCATGGTTGATCACATTCATCTGGCTGATAACTTGGAAGGGGGAGGGTTAGTTGGACAAGAAGAAAATTCGATTCTGCGATGGTCCCACCTCTTTGCTCTGCAGGGCTGTGGCCCTGGGAGGGTCCACGCCTATCTCCCCACAGCCTTCTTATTTTGCACAACTTCTCACCGGTTGTGCTGGAAAGTAGTCCATTGTCTCACAGAAGTGCCCCCACGGAGAGGCGACAACCCTCCCTTCCTCTCCCCGGGGGGAGCATTCCCTCAAGCCCACGCAGGAGACCAGCCCCCACGTGACTTTTGGCGCAGCTGAGCCCGTTTTCATGACTCCTTTGGTCCCAACGTTTCTCCTTGAGCTTCCTGTTTCCTGAAGCAGTTCTGGTGAAGAAACCTGGGGAGTGAAACTTATTTCCCTCAGATCTTGGGTTTTATAAGCAGCCTTAGCATGAGGCAGTGCCTATCGTGGTCTGGGTGACAAGAGGCAGGTAGAGACAAGGGCCTGGCTGTGAGCTTCAGATCCCAGCTCAGTCACTTACCAGCAATACAGCTGCTGTGACTCAACTTTCTGTTCTGTAAAATGGGCACGATGCTGGCACCTCCCTCAGAAGGGCCTGGGAGAATGTGGCAGGTGATCCGTGTTAACATGTGTGAGGTACTGAAACAACCTGTCGGAAGCACCCTATAAACATCAACTCTGACAATTATTACTTGCTTATGGCTAGTACTAGCTGAAGCTTATTTTTCAGTGCCAACCATCACTTACCAAGTGCCATAAAAACGTCCGTGGCTTGGTCTAGAGAATGACTCTGAGGAAGGATGGGAATGGGAGGAGCCCAGTGTGCCTGGGCATCCTCTCCACCTCGCCCACCTAGCCTGGTGCCCCACCCCAGGGCCCGCAGCCTCCTTGAATATTAATGAGGCCCTTTGTTGTTAGAGCCTGTGTTTTCTGCCAGATATCCTCTCTTTCCTCAGCCCTCTCAACCCTGTAAAGTAAGTATAATTTTAAGGACTGGGCCATGTTTAGGGATTTGGAAACTGGCTGTGCTCTCTGGTAGCAAGGGGCAAGAGGGGGCCACCGTTCATGTCACTGGGTCTGACGCCTCAAACCCCAGAGCTTGGAGCCCCTCATTGCCCCTTCCTTTGGGGGTGTGTGTGTGTGTCAGACTGGATTTGCTCCCTTGCGTTTGGCTGGCTGGGTTGCAGGGGGCACAGTGGGGTCACACTGCACACTCTGGGCAGAACTAAAGCCGGTGATGTCAGCATATTCACGGCGTCTTCTTCTGTATGCCCTGTTGGGATCATGGGACCACCCCCTTGAGAAGTTGCTGCAGAGGGGCCAAAGGGCGGGACTGGAGCTGGTCCCGTCGCCACCTAGTGGCGCCACAGAGGCTGCGGGACAGGGCTGACACAGTGGCCCTGGCTGCAGATGTCAGTGCCCATGAGGACGCTGGGTGAATGGCTGCATTTTTGGTTACAAACCTCTCTCTCTCTCTCTCTCTCTCTGTCCAGAGCCCATCTTTGGCAAAGGCTGGCAGTGGGGCCCCATTGAGGCACAAGGCTCCCCAGGTCAGCCACCACCTCAGAGTCTACACCCCAAAGTGCTTCCCCTGCTGTAACCTGGGCAGGGTTTTGGATCTGCAGGCTCAACCCTTCTCTGGCCTCGAAGGTCAGGGGCAGAGTGCTCCTGGAAATCCCGATGGATGGGCTTACATCTATATATATAAAAGGCTAGTATGCTAAGTGTCCATCCAGGTAATGACGTCACGTAGCAATGCCCAGCTTCCTCTCCCTAGTGACTGGCCTCCTTGCAGTTTCTTCAGCCCAGGAACATGACTTGCTTTATAGCCAGGTGGAAACATTTTACACTTTAACCAAATGTCTGTGAAGTGTTTTCCCGTGCCTCATCTCATTTGATCCTCACAGAAGTCCTGGAGTAGATAAATAGGAGACTTGGTGGTGGAATCCTATTTTCGTTTCATCAGCCAGAAAACGGAGATTTAGAAAGCTTAGAAACTTGACCCGACTGAAAAGAAGTAAGAAATGGTGGACCTTGAAAATGACTTCACGTTTTCTCACTGTGCAAAATATAGTCAAACACTGCTGCAGTTAAATATTTCACCCTTTGTTCTCCCTGCGAGATCTACAATAATAATCTGCTTCGTGTTGATATTTACTGCTGTGTTGCTGACAATTACCTGACAGAGAAGTTGGGGTGCTTCACTGGGCTGGGAAAGGTTTAGCTACATCAGAAAGCAGGTCTAATTAAGCAAGTTTATCTATCTATCTATCTATCTATCTACCTATAAAGCTCTTGCTGGCGTCAATCGCATGCGTGTGTTTCCATCTGTCATTGTCGATTGTGAATTTGGTTGACACTTCTATTATAGAGAAAGGGTGAATAGCAATATTAAAATATTTCTTCTAATTAATTTCCTTTCAAGGTGCCCGAATTCGTGCAGCAGGCCACTAGTCTATGAGTTGGATCAGACCAGCTGCAAAAGGAGAGCAGGTTTTCAGCATATTTATAGTGGTCATACCCTGCTGTCAGTGCAACAGGGACGTCAGCGTTAAACCAAAAATAATCAATAAAGAAATTTTAAAAAATAAAGCACACAAAAATCAAGGGGAAAATAATAAAATTATCTAATGAGTAATTGAAAATTTTAATTAACTAATGTTTATATCAGGTTAGACCCCCCACCTTGTATCATATAAATGAAAAAAATAAATAAATTGAATTAGAAACATCTAAAATAAAAAGAGCATACTGGCTTCTCACACCGTGGCTGCGGCAGGAGCCCCAGGCTGCCTCTGTCTGCGGACACCGTCCAGCACACGTCCTCCCAGGCAGCACCAGCACAGAATGGCCTCCAGTGGGGCCGGGAAACAGCTGGGCATGGGTAGGGCTTTGGGTTTCATTTTGTTTTGGGTTTTTCTCCTTTCTCAGGAAACATCAGTCAGGGAAGAGAGCAGGCGAAGGAGGATTCCTCCTATCGCGTCAGTAATGAGGCTTCCTTTATTAGCAGACTTCACTTTTTCCAGCAGTTTTAGGTTTACAGAAAAATTGAGCAGAAATAGAGTCGCCAACTAGTTCCTGCTGCCCCAGTTTTCTGCTTTAGCATCTTGAGTTGGTGCGTTGGGTACAATTGATGAGGCCATACTGGCGCATGATTATTAAGTAAAGTCCGTAGTTTACTGAGTGTTTACTCTTGGTATTACACATTCTGTGTGCTTTGACAAATGCATGATGTCACATACCCACCATCCAGTGTCATACAGAAGGGCCTCACTGCCCTAAAAAATCCCCTGTAGGGCCCAGCCGTTGTGACTCAGTGGTTGAGTATTGACCTATGAACCAGGAGGTCACAGTTCAATTCCCGGTCAGGGCACATGCCTAGATTACAGGCTCGATCCCCAGTGTGGGGCATGCAGGAAGTAGTCAATCAATGATTCTCTTTCGTCATTGATGTTTCTCTCTCTCTCCCTTCCTCTCTGAAATCAATAAAAATATATTTTTAAAAAATCCCCTGTGGGAATACAATTTTAAATCAACTTAGAAAATCAGAGCTGTAAAAATCCCCTAGGAATTGGACAGCCCGATGAGCATGCAGACGACATCCCATTATCCAGGCCCGGCTGCCAGGACGCTCCCCTCCCCGCCTCCTTCCCCCCCCCCCCCCCCCCCCCTGTGGGTGTGTCAGGGCCAGAACTTGGCTTGGGAAGGAGTGGAGAATAATCTGAGTGCACGTGTATATAATAATGCTAGTGTATATACATCCTTTTTTAAAAAAGGAATGACCATGGGGATGCATGTGCTGGCCACTGAGTAGGGCCAGCTCTCCCTCCTGGATTTAGGACTTGCGGATTGGGGTGCCGGGGGCTTGTTGATTCTGGTCTACAAAGCATTTGCTGTCGACATGTTGTCACACGAGTGTCGGTGCCAGAGGCCAGCTCGGAGCTGGTGCGCCCCTAACGGGATGGGCGGGAGGCGGCTCTCCCTCCCGGCTCTGCTCCTTCTCGCTGACACGTCTGTTGCTGAAACGTGTCCTCCCTCCCCGGGCAGGGGCTGTGTGAGCTCCGAGCCGCTGGCAGCCTTGGCCTCTGGGATCCAGAGATAACAAAGCTCTCTTGCTTTCTGGGGGTTCAAGCGAAGTGATCGGTGGCCTGGCCAAGTCCCTGGACAAAGCGAGCTCTGAGGTCCACCCGGCAGTGGCCCGCTGGACTGGCCACTCGCCGCTCCTGGCGGCGGGCATGTCTTCCGGGAGAGCCGAGAAGCCGGGCTTGTGCTGGCCTCCGCTCTAAAACAGACCTCACAGGCGCCCGCTCCCAGCTTGAGGGTCCCCGAAGACATTTGTGTATAAAAAGGGCCCTATTGTGTCGGCCTGTGCCTGACTGATTTGCTCTAGTTCAGAATTCTCTGCCGCGTGGGGGTGTATGTGTGTGGGGGGATGAGTGGGGCGGGCGGGGGAGGGGCTCTGAGATGCGGGTGCTGATGGCTTCCTTTGGTGGCCACAGATGGTGGGGGCAGCGTCCATGTCATCCTCTAAAACGCCTCTTTGCCCCAGAGGCATCCATCGCTCTGCCATGTCTCCTTGCGCTCCCTGGCTCTGGTGTCAATGAGGTGAAGGCGTTCTGACTTGTCATTTGTTCCTAAGGACGTGAAAACGCGGCCTCGCTGGATTTCTTTAGGCGGCTGCTGTGCCGCTAGCCAGTCGGCTCAAATCTGCCGTTAGGATCGCGGGGTCTTTTAGAGAACTGCTCTTGGCTGCCAAAATGGTTCTAAATATATTAAAAGTAGGTTAACTTACTGTGTTCCCTGCATTTATTCTTCCAGCTGAAATTTTCCTGACTTTTTTTTCCCCCCTTTCGTTTTATTAGGTTAATAAAACTTGGTTTTCGAGCATTTCTCTGCCCCAGGAGGGCAATGGGCCCCACGTCCAATTCATCAAGTGCCTAATGAGTGGCCTCGGAGGTCCCGGCCCATCCATTCCAGAAGCTCCCTGCCTCGTAAAGGTGAGGCCTATGGGCTGCTCTGTATATTTTGTCTGTTGGTTTCCCAAATTCTCCTGCCAGCTCTACTGTCACTTTCCAGGATTTATAGGAGGCCGACGGCACCGCGGGGGCTCCCTCTGCAGCAGGCCCCCCTCCCCTGCCCGCTCCTCACACGCACCACACACTCCGTGCCATAAAATAACGTTTCTGCAATAAAATGAAATAGAAATGTGTCGATGCTAGCATTTTAGAACATTCCAGCAAAAGGGCTGTGGGAAATGCCTTCGTTTACACTAAAGAGGGAAGCTCTGTGAGAGAGGGGGAAAACAGTGCGAGAAAAGGCCGTAGTAAGGAGAGACAGCCTGGTATTTAAAGTAAATAAATTTTTAAAAAAGTCGTGTTTGTGTGTGTGCATTGTGTGCAGTCTCTAAATTATTCTTTTTTCACATATGCGTATACCTCCCCTGGTTAATTTTTGGTGTTTTGGAGAAAGACCAGGGAAAGAAAAAGTGGATGTCACTTGCCTTCTGGGCCCGGGTACTGGGCTCTCTCGCCTTCTAGAACGTTCTTCCTTTTCCTCCCCTGCAGGCTTTCTGGCCTTGGCCCAGGTGTCAGGATCCTGCCAGCTCCACGCTGGGGGCTGTGTCTGCCCCGAGGTGGTTGGAAACCTGGAATCTGAGCAACCGTGAACTCCAGGTACATACGCTAGCAGGCGGCCGGGAAAGGAAGGGACCTCGACGGGAGCTTGTGGGGTGGGGCAGCCGCTGGGTTGTGGGGTGCCAGAGGCCTCCCAAATTTCCACACAGCAGCCCAGCCTTGCCAGCATTTGCAATGAGTGTCCTGGCTCCTCTTCTCTGCTCCGAGCCTCCAGAAAGCGCCTGGCCTTTAATTAACTGCACTCTCCCGGGGCATGCGCCGTCGCTAATAAATTACTCTATATGACCTGTAACTTTTTCTTCCCTTCCTCCCAGCCGCCGGCCTGGAGCTGGGGAGGGAAGGGGCACTGAGGGGAGGTTTTGCTTGCTCTGCGAGCGGGAAAGGGAAACGCTGAAGCTGTCCCAGGCCATTCTCTGCCATGCCCTCTGTGTTTTATCAGCCCGTGGCCCCAGAGCCAGGTGACAGACCCGTCCAGACAATCGGCTGGGACTTGGGGGACCTCTTTTAACACCTGGGAGGTGGACCCGGGGCTGGGGGCAGTGGCCAGGATGGCTGTGGATCGCAGGGTTCTGGAAGGTCTCTGAGGTGCAGGGGTGTGTTCATGG